TATCATTTTTCCATCTCTTTGCTTCTCCTAGAGATTTTTGTTTCCAGAAAGTTAATTCATTTTAATGAAGTCATTGTTCTATTTCAGCAAGTCATAGGAATCTTTCCAGAGCATTGGAAAGCCTTTTGTGGATGTGCACACAACAGATTCCTAGGACAGGGTCACTGCCTTGCACAACTCCAGGGGGCACTGTTCACATTGTGGTCTATTTAAATGGCACCCCTGGGAGATAAGCTGATCAACATATTTCTAACCTGCAGGGCCTGATCTTTAAGTGATAAAGTACATTTTAATGGATGCAGGCTGGAGTTTGTAATTGATATTTGTCCCCAAGGGAACGGGTACAATGTTATGTCAAGAAAATATTTTCTATGCATTTTACCAGCAGCTGAGTTTAAATTCTCACCATGTGTATGAATAAAATAAAATTAAAAAAAGAAAGAAAGGGAGATCTGACATGGGAAATCCTTGAATGAGGGTGTCCTATCTTATTAAAACGCCAGTTCAAATGCAGAAAAACTCTTATCTGCTACAGGAAACAGAGATAAAAGCAGAAGAATACACCCTTCCCCAAACTGGTGAAACACAACCACTCCATTATTTCCTTCTTTTGACTCTTATCGTAAAAACATTTCTATACTACCAGTCATTTGAAAGAAATGTTCACAGTATATCATGCGATGGGACAGCAATCTGGCAGAGTAACCCTGGTTGTCATTTTTAACGCGTTGCTCACCTACCTTCTTAAAGACCATCTCTGACAGTGTCTCTGAGCTTACTATGTCTATCTCCCCCAAGTTTACAACCAAAGCTCCTCACAGAATCCCATTAGATAGTGGGAGCCAGTGGGTTCTGTTTTATATCAGTCATTTCCCTGACAGGTTTGAGTAGGAATGGGGAGGGGAGGAATTTTGCTTTTCACCCTTTCCAGCCTGCTTGGAAGGCAGAATCCAACAAGAGAAGAGCTCATGCCTTAATTCCGGAGGCCCTGGCTCTATGTGTCAAGAAGACCTGATCGTCTGAAGGGAGGAGGACATGAACTAGACAATACAAAAGTAAATAAACAAATAAGATGCACAGTCATCTCCATTCTCTAAATAATTTGTTTCAAATGTGAGAACTGAAAAGCTCATGATGGAAGTTCTTATCCCAAGATTTCTACCTTGTGATCAAATTCATTCTTTCATCCATTAACTGATTCATTCACTGTTATTCAGCAACATTTAATGAGTGGTCACTCTGTGCCAGGCACTGTGCTAGGCATTAAAAATGTAGAATATTCTGAAGCAAATAAATAGCTAAGGACTCAGTGAGAATATACTGCTGATTTTAAAAAGTAGGAAAAGAAAATGATATATATAGTTAATGAAGCAATTAAACATTTGTTAGTTGCAAGATGGTTAACTTTGGCATTTCCTGACTTCATTGGGCTAGATTCCTTTGGGCATTAAGAGTGGTGTGTATTAACAGGATTTTCTCCATTTAATTTCTCAAGAATGTAATTTTTAATTAAAAAGAGAACTGAAAAATGTAAATCCCCTAGTTGGAGAGGTTTTGTAAGATTCATTTAACAATATCTTTAAAGAAAGGATCTTATTTTCTGTTCATGTATTTATCCTTTTATGTTTTTAAGCCACATACTGTAAAAATAATTTGAAAAGATGATAGAAAAATAATTTATTTGGATTCTGTTGCCTTTTTCCTTTCTCAAACAGTGGTTCCAATGTAAAGTTATAGAATCACGGCCATCCTTGAGTTTGAAACCTTAATAGTCAACGTGGTCATGTCTTTTTTCAGTCCAGTGATTATTTATTTATTTGTGTTTATTCATACAAAAGAAACATGCTAGGAAAGCAGGGTGAGCCTTAGGGGAAAGGGGCCAGCACGAGGATAGGCTATCATTTGTCAAATGGACACCACATTGCTCCTAGGACTAACACTAACAAAAGCTCTTCCCTGGATGAGCCATCACCATGTGAAAACCAGTGTCAGTTACAGAAGTATTTTCTGACTGGCTCGTATTTGATAAATGGTAGGTAATAATATATTCAAACTTAATTTGGAACAGGACCTAAAAATTTAATTTGTGTGGCAGGGACCTAGAAACAATATTAAACTCTAGCATAGTTTTGCCATCAGAGAGATTTGATTACATGCATGATTTGCCTTCAGTATTCAGACCCTGCCCTTAAGTTATCTATCTGAATGGGGTAAAGTCCAAAGAAAAAACTACAAATAAGGAATAAGAATGTGTTATTGCTCGGTTTAGAGTTAGCGTGGCTTCCTCTCACAGTAAAGAGAATTAATTTGCTCTACAAAGAGGAAAGCTATATTGTTGGACTTCAAGTTATAGGTGTTCAGCGTCATTATTTTTGTCAACAAGTAGTGAAATAATTAATTTCCAGGAATTATAAAAATCTCTAACAACATTCTTTCATCAACTTTTAATGATGGCATCTTGGTTGAGAGTGATTTTTTTCTTCTTTTTAAGATCACAGCTTTATCTTCACCCAGGGCTTGGTTTGTCAGTAAACAAGAGACTGATGTCTTTAAATAAGCTCCAAGTCCTAAATTCCCCGAGACTTTCTTGCTAGAGGCCATTAAGAGAGATGAGCATCAGTGGCTGGCTTGTTCTCTGTCACATGGTGTCAGGCTTCGAGATGTCTCTGCAAAGCCTTCTGATCAGAGAAGCAGAGGTTGCCAAAGTCATCCTTCTGACTACAAAATCAGAGAAGTGACAGTGGGCACTCCGTTCCCCACCTTCTATGGCCTGAAATAACGAAGGGTTCCTTTGCAGTCTCTTTCCCTTTGGAAAGAAGGGTAGATTAGAAAATTGTCATCTCTCCGTTGTGATTGGGTTTCTATCTCTGTTGAACTTGAAGAGAAATGCTACAATTTTCAGTTTGTGTTTCCTTGTCCTCTGTGATAATTTGGGTCAGAGGTTGGGCTGCAGGCCTCCCGGTGGTATGAAGAGCAATCATCCGATTTTTAGGCCGAGCCAAGAACAATAGTAACCTCAACCAGGGCCTGGATTCAGGGCAGAGCCCATTTCCATTGGCCAGGCTTCTTTCCCTTCAGTGACCTGGACACTCATTCATCTTGATTCATTTGATGGCTGTCCTTACGTGATACTAATATTTGCACATTTGGAAATAGTTTGAGACAATAAAATACTTGAAACTATCCACATTTTTCGACATTAGATGAATAAAGTAGCTAGATGGTTAGAAGAATAGCATAGAGGATGCTCAATAAATGTGTGTTGAATGAATGAATAAACAAGCAGAGTTATGAGTCAGTTGATTAATCCAGAGGTCACAAATTAGAGGCTACTCTGACCCATAAAAATATTTTGTTGATACAATGTAACCTGACAATGTTTTTTTTTAATATATGAATTAGTTGATTATTTTTATAAATTGTGAGATTTAACATAAAAATTCCAATTTTGGCTAAAAATCAAGATATTTCTGTATTTGGGATCTCTTGGCAAAAATCGTGTCATGTTTATTAGCAGCTGCTCCTTTTACACAAGATTTACTCCAAGCACCACCACTCCCTATTATTTCCTGACACCACTGACTTTCCCACACCTGGCTTCCTCCACTCTTCTGTTATCTGCCTGGCCTTGTAGGCTTTCAGAAAATAAGCTTATCTGTGGTAACTTTGCCAACATTCGTTCACAATGTTTCACGTCTAACTTAGAAATGAAATCGGTCCCATGTTGGAGCTGCAAGTCACATTTATACTGAGACCCCTGTTTCAGCTTTGGGTGCCGGTGTAGGTACAGAAGCGATCACCCAGCATGACAAACCACAAAGGACCTTCGCTGGTGAAAGAACGGAAAGACTCCATTGTGTTTCAAAATAGTTTTCACTTTGGGAAAGTTATTTTTTAAAACATTCAAAAAAAAAACCACATAGATATGAAATGCTTTATTTTCAAAACCTCATAAACATTCGATCCAGATGTTTACCTCAAGTGGTTCAGTGGCCAGGGTGGGGAACACCCACTAGTCCCAAAAAAGAAAATCACCGAATTTAACAATGGATGGTTGCATAGTCTGAAGTCAGATAAACAGAAGTGTATGTCTAGTAGCAAGAACTATGTCCTTTTGCTCCCTGTGTGGCCGGTGTCTGTGTATTTTAGGGGCTTGAGTATTTATCAAGCACCTGCTACGTGTCAGAAGCTGTACTAGGTAACTGCTGATGTCATCTTCTGTCTAATGTGCTAGGGGTTCCAGACAGCAAAAACCAAACAAAACAAACAAGTAAGCTGTAATACATGCAATAGGAGTTGATAAGGGAGATGGGAAGGTCTGAACAGTTCCTATATTTAATAATACCTGTGGTATGCGTAGGTCATACTGAAAAGATGAGATCTGAGTAATCTCTGAAGGAGGTAAGGGAGTTAGCCAAGTGGATCTGTGGGGAAAGACCCTTCCAGGATCAGGGAAGATCTGGAGTGAAGCCCTAAGGAAGGAGTCTGCCTGGTGTGTTCAAGGAGCAGTGTGCTGAGTACTGCGCGGTCAAGTCCATTGACTACAGTGAAAAGTCCGTCCACGAATACACACACCATTCCCCCTAGAAGTCTGGTCTCTCTAGCGAAGGAATATTTATCACGTATTTTTAATGAAGCTTTATTTCGATTTGGCCACAGCCTGACCGTTTGAGACTCCATTCTGTTTTCTGGACTGCAGGCTCAGTGTTGTAAGGAGAGCTTACACCCCATCTGGCCCTGCGGTGGAGGAGAGCTTGACTGCTGCTGTCTGCGCGTAACTGATTCTCCTGAACCAGCTGCCCTTCCATTATTCCCAAGCCTCTCTCCTGTTCCAGATATCAAATACGGGGGTTTTTCAAAGGAGTAGTCCACAAGGGAAAGAATAAGAACTGGAGTTTGTTAGTTTACTCTACACATTCACTCCTCTCCACTAAAGAACACAGTTCAGAGGGCACTCTATGAAAATCTCCCTAAACAGACTTCATGTCTCCTCCATGCAGCTGCTCGCGAAGGACTGGCCCTTTGGAGTTGAGATGTGTAAGCTGGTGCCTTTCATCCAGAAGGCCTCCGTGGGAATCACTGTGCTGAGTCTATGTGCTCTAAGTATTGACAGGTAAGGGCGTACATCTAAGCCTGGTATATCCTGGAACCCTAGCCAAGTGATCACCGCGTTACTTACAATATAAACTACACAGTTCAGTAAAACCAGGCTCTACCGGCTTGGCAAACAATCCAACTTTGCTCTTCAGATATCGAGCTGTTGCTTCTTGGAGTCGAATTAAAGGAATCGGGGTTCCGAAATGGACAGCAGTAGAAATTGTTTTAATTTGGGTGGTCTCCGTGGTTCTGGCTGTCCCTGAAGCCGTGGGCTTTGATATGATTACCATGGACTACAAAGGAAGTTCTCTGCGAATCTGCATGCTTCTTCCCACTCAGAAAACAGCCTTCATGCAGGTAAAATTTTACTTTTGTTTTTTTCATTTCTGTTCTTGCCTTATAAATATTTAGCTATTTTCCCGCTGATCTCCTCTTCTTGAGAAGCTATTGATTTATGACTTTCCTTGGCATAAATTAAGAATATAGGTCCCAGGACTGCAGAGTTAACGGTGACTAATGACTCAAACTGCAAGACGCTGGGTCACTACCATTCCAAGAATCCTCTGGTGGTCAGGGATACAGATGAACCAAGTTTACATAAGAGAATTGATCAAATTGATAGTTTTTCCACTCAAATTCCCATAAGGATTGGCAGCTACTACATATTCTGCATTAAACAACACAGCAGTCATCAGAGGGAGGGCAGGGATCAGTGAATGGTCGAGTAGAGGTCGCCCTGGTATGGATGGATGGGTAGGAATCCCTGTGACTCCATGAATCTTGGTATGAATGACAAGCCTGTCCTCTCTCCAAAGGGAAAGCTGCCATTGCAAAGAACTTCATCTTGACCATTTATTCAAGGGCATCTAATCAGGAAATAGGAAAAGAATGGTGATGCTGGTCATCAGAAGATAGCTGCTAAGTGTAAAAGGCTCTTCCTAACAGGACGGGTTTAAGAGGTGTTAATGCAAAGGGGGCTGGTCCAAGTGCCAGCTATGATTATTTTCTATTTTACACATAAGAACACTACACAGAACTTTATGAATATATGTATCAATCATGGTAAGCAAAAGAATGAAGAGGGGCATTAATGTGAAATTGAAAACAAGACTGCTGTTTTCTTATTAGTTACAAGGGAAAAAGTCCTGCATGGATTACATGAAGTCTGCTCCAACAGATCTGGAACAACAATTTTTTAAAAAAGAACAGAAAAAGAATAAGAGAAAAGGCATGTCATAAACAGCTTTGAGTTTTTAATTCCTAGGTTAGATTTATGTATTACTGAGCTAAGTGATTAAATAGACCTCGTCGTAGCTGTTTTCCACATGAAACAAACTTGTCAAAAAATGAAAATCTCCCTTAAATTAACTCTAGGACATCTTACACATTCAGGTGTGTTATTTCTCACAAAGCATCCCTTAAGGATCACTGAATTGTGTGAAGACAAAACTATTTGAATTACCAAATATTTTAAGTCTTGCCCAACTGTTTACCTTTTTTTTAATATGTAATGATAGCACAATGCCTTAGGGAACTGAAACGCTTTTTAGGAAAAGTTTGTTTCCTGTACTTTAATTATTTTATTATTTATTCAGCAGACATGGCCTGAAAGATTCTACATAGTATTTATAAAGCGGACCTACTTTAGAAGATAATTATCCTGGCATAAAAAAAATTTTTTAACGTAACATTTGGTATATAAGATTTTCTTACAGAGGAATATTGAGTATAACATTCTCTCTTCTCTGTAGTTTTACAAGACAGCTAAAGACTGGTGGCTATTTAGTTTCTATTTCTGCTTGCCGTTGGCCATCACCGCATTTTTTTATACCCTGATGACTTGTGAAATGTTGAGAAAGAAGAGTGGCATGCAAATTGCTTTAAACGATCACTTAAAGCAGGTAAGGAGATGGAAAACTTGCTAACTCATGGTTACAATCCTGATTATAAATATGAAAATAATTATGATGACAATAAACTAAAATCATCACATACCAGAGCATAATTCTTTTTTCTTGTTCTGGTCTTCTTAAATATACAAAAAATATTTTTTATGTTCTCTGGAGGATATCCAGAGATAGTCTACATAATCTAAAAGGATGTAAAAAGAGCCATTACTTTTTAAAGATGAATCTCTCATCATTTTGGTTCTAATTCACATTAGCTATTCAACTTAAAGCTCAGTGTCCTTCAGTTAAAAACTTGAAAAATTAAAAAAATAAATAGAGCTCAGTGCCCTGATTCTTTACAAATGCCACTGCCTTTTTGTAAACAATAGTAAGAATTTTGTTTGACAAGAGACAACACTGTGATTCTAATGAGCCACCTTTTCAGTGTCTGACTATGGTTTTATTTCAGAGGCGGGAAGTGGCCAAAACGGTATTTTGCCTGGTCCTTGTTTTTGCCCTGTGTTGGCTTCCCCTTCATCTCAGCAGGATTTTGAAGCTCACTCTTTATGATCATAATGATCACAATAGATGTGAACTTTTGAGGTAAGAAAGGTAAAACAGAAATAGTTGTGTAAATAAATGCCATTCGGAAATTTTTCCATCAATTCCTCTCACTGGCGGGAAGAGAAAGAGTGTCATTTTTCTAATCCTTGGGAGCAATTAAGATGCTCATTTTTTACCTTCACTTCTATTTTCAATGGAGAAGTAAAGGGGACTTAGGAGAATGCTGGGGATGGGGAGGCAGTGAGTGGCACGATTGAAAACGTCAGGTCTGACTTTCCTTTGCACTTTGTACATCCTTTCTTTTCAGCCAGCCAAAGCACTGCCAAAAGAGATTTTATTTTAAAAGAGAGAATTGAGCATGGGAGGTGGGAGTGCAGTTGGGATGATGACAAGGACAGAAAATGAGAGAGAGCGAGAGAGAGAGGCACAAAGAGAGACCAAGAGGCAGAGAGAGATCATTACCAGCAAAGACTATTGATAAAGTCAAAACCATTATAAATGGGTGATTTTATTTTCTTCACAAAAACACAGAAGTCTGCAAAGAATACATGCTTAGAGCAGCATATTTTTTCACAGACGGTCTTACATTATTTTTTGCAGCTTTTTGCTGGTATTGGACTATGTTGGCATCAACATGGCCTCCCTGAATTCCTGTATTAATCCAATAGCTCTGTACTTGGTGAGCAAAAGATTCAAAAACTGCTTTAAGGTAAGAGAGTATTTGAAAATCAAAAGTCCTTTCTAATCTGACATCAAATATAATTACCCTTCCAAACTATTAATATTTCTATCCAGAGAGATCTAGTAAATTGTTTTATAGTGTCCCTTTGTATTACATGATAGATGATTTTTTTTAAATATGACTTTAACTCAGAAATCACTATATTTGACTTCTGCCTACAAATTGTAGTCACCCACTCCCTACTGTCTCAAACAATCAGTTTTACTCATAGAGTTACTCAGAAGATTAAGAAAAATTACATATATTGATGTCTGACAGATGCCACATGATAAAATAAGAGCCACACAAGGATTAAATGCACAGTTCCCATTTGGGGTCGATTTTGGACGATGCTGCACAGAATAGACTATGTTAGACTCTTTTTCACATGGATATGAAAATAACAAGTCAAACAAAGCAATTTAAGCTCAGGTTCTACCATCAGTTTTCTGCCTTCATTCCATGGAAGAGATGTGCTACTTGATGTGGACTGTATAAAACTAGTCCTCACTTGGCCACTTGCATTTGTGCATAACATCAATCCCCCCATTCACTCACTCCTTTAACAACCTAGCATGAAATAAAATACTCTCTTCCCTTCTCTGGGGATGATCGATTTGTCCCTGGTGGTTCATTATTGGAAAAAGCCAAGAACTTAGCTTCCTTGTAAAATTGAAGGCTCTTTATTAAAAGTCTTTGGCTACACTTAAACTCATAGATTTTTAGAGCTAGAAGAGAACATTAATCAACTCCCCCATTTTACAGAACAGAAAGCAGTGGACTGCCCATTTTCTTATAAATTCTTAGAAAACAAACTGAATGGGATTTAAAAAATAGCAAGACAAAATTTGGATGAATAAAACTGAGACACTTATACACTTTATAACCCAATAGCGTAACAATATTGAAAAGGCACATGAGATTAACACATGGCTGAAGAAGATGGCAGCGTAATATTAAACTTACTGACATGGAAAGATGTTTCTGACATGGTCAAGACCATGGAGTAGTATGTAGAGTAAAGTTTTATTAAAATAAACTATAAACATATTTCCATAAACATGAACATATACAGTCATTGTGCATATACGTGTGTGGTAATACTCCTACTTGCATAGGAAAAAGTCTTGAGTTATATATTTATCAAATAGGAAGAGTATTTCTCAAGTCATCAAGAGTAAGCATCAAGAATTACGATGGGCTTTCTCTTTTAATATGAATGAAAAGATGAAGTGTAATTATACACATTTTTTTCTTCTCTGTATTTTCTAGTTTAAAAAAAATGATTACATACTACTTAGGTAATTGTATATTTTTAAGGGGAAAAAACAAGAGGGCATGGAAAGAAAGTGGCCTAGGAATTGGAGATCATGCAAAAAAAGAACCCTGGAGAGGAGGAAGGGCAGTGAGCGTGTACCTGGTGTAGACGTGTACTGAGTTACTTTGTTCTATACAGTCATGCTTATGCTGCTGGTGCCAGTCATTTGAAGAAAAACAGTCCTTGGAGGAAAAGCAGTCGTGCTTAAAGTTCAAAGCTAATGACCACGGATATGACAACTTCCGTTCCAGTAATAAATACAGCTCGTCTTGAAAGAAGGAATATTCACTTTCTTTATGTTGGACAGAAATGCTTACAACAATGAGGCATTTGCCAAAACAAAACAAAACAACTGTGTGTTTGCACAAAAACCATGTAAAAATGTAACAGTGATTATTTTCTTAACACTCAGAGTTACACATGACATTTTATGAGCTGTTTACAGCATGAGGAGAAAAGCAGTGAGAATTGAGAAAAACCTCACTGTGAAAGCACTTAATTCTTTATAGTCAGCACTTCGCCCTAGCTCTTCAGAACTTCCAGTATATTCGTAAACCACTTACATTTAAATTGAAAGACATTTGTTTTTTTAAATTCAGGTGACTCTGATATAAAGGAAAAATGTGTCACTGTGAAACAGCATTTAAAAATGAAATTTCAATTACTCCATTTAAAATTTTAAAAATCTTTTAAAAGAACTTTTTTATTAATAGCGTCACACTGTTGGTTGGACTATAATTGGAGACAGAATGTGAAAGCAGTTTAACTGGTGTCTTTTTTTGGACATTAGAGACAGATTTAAATGATCAGGAGAGACTATTGGAGAGATTGTGATTTTTGAAAATCATTCAACTTTACATTCAGATGAGATCAGATGTCACAAAAGGACAGAGAGAGGTTTGGAATACCATCCCACATGACTGTTTTGAACTCTCCCGTTCGTGTACTCTGCAAAGAAAATAGTACCTACAATTTTTTAAGGATTATTAGAACAGTCTTCTTTCACTATTGTAGTTTAAATGCTGTTTGTTTAGTTGTGTCATTTGTAAATATTTAGCTGCAATGCACAATGTGTAGATGATTAAACCACGGGCAGGCCCCAGTGTTCATACCTTTACAATGGAGAGATGCCAAGAACCCGTATGGACAGTGTGAGTTGCCTGGAGCAGTGTTCACGTGGTAGAGAAGGCAGCATCCTCTCTCGCCCCTGCTGCAGTTCAAATGGTCTCTGGCATATATATAATATGAGAGTCAAAATAATGACTGTTTTTTAAGATTACAGAAGTTAGAGTCAATTTAACAGTTAACTGTAAAGCTTACTACTAATGTTTATATTATTTTTGTAAATAACTAATGGAAAGGGGTTCTTGACGTGGTGCTTTTCAGTCACTTACCAGCCAAACTGCTTTCTGAGACTATTAAGAACCTCTTACTTTGTGCATTCTTGCCTGATTCTTTCATCTGCCCAGCAAAGTGCCTTAGGTTAACTTGGATGAGATGTGTGTGAAAGTATGTACGGGAGAAAACAGAAGACAGAGGAAATGAGAAGGGGTGGGAGGAAACCCGTGGGGACGGATTCCCATTCTCAGCCTGATGTTCGTCATTGCCCCGTCACATCAATGCAAAAGGTCCTGATTCTGTTCCAGCAAAACATAGTGCAATGTTCTCAGAGCGACTTCAGGAACAAATTGGGCCCAAGAGCTTTAACTCTGTCTTAAAATATAACAGAGTTTCTACTTTTTTTTTTTAACCCAGGGCCACATGTTGAGAATAAACTAGCAATGTTGTTTTCCACCAGCATCTCTTGTGATAATACAGTAAACTAAACCCCAGCAATCTGGCCACAAGGAAAGGCTATTTACAAAACACTCAGTCTTGTTAATTTCTTCCCAATCACTTTTTCAGATGCTTGTCATCACAAAAGACTTTTCAAACTTTGGATTTTAAATTAACTTTGTGTCACTAATACTTTCAGTTTATTAATGTGTTTTTTATTCCTATTTAAATTTTAGCTCATGTTATTACCATTAATTTAGTTTCTTCCTCCTCATTTGCATTATAATACCCTTCTCCCTGTCAGAGTCCTGGTCTGTGATCATCTTGCCAAATTTTAAAATCTACACAAAGAGTATATACTTGCACTATTTATAGTGAAATTGTGTCCAGTAGCGTTTCTAAAAATGTTTGATTCAAAATTTGAACATATTGACAAAAGTTGGTAAGAAACAAACATGATGTCTTAGCATAAAGAAAATCAATTTAGGAAAAGGTGCTACTGTTTAAAACATATTTTTGAGTATTAAGGACTGTATAATAATGGACAAAAATAGTGTTAACCACATGGATGTTAAAACTTAAAAGATTTATAAATGATTTTAGACTGTTTTCTCCTTTATATTTGCTAATATGGGTGCATGCTGGTATTGACAGCTAACAAGATATGGCCAAAGGAATACAGTTTATAACAAAACATGGCTATGCTGTAGCTAACTTTATAAAATTGTAATATAACCATGAAAATAATTATATATTTTGTTTTTCTGTAGTCACTTAAAGTGGCAGCTACTGTAGTTGCTGATTCCTTGTTATGTAAAAAAAAATCAATAAAAATTTAAATTGTTCTATAAACGACCACCTTGTTTTTCACTGAGCAGGCAATAATTCATGAAATACTAATTTATTAGTAAGTGTTTAGGAAATATAAATGTTACAATGGATACTACTTATGTTAAACATACAATTATCAAGGAAATGTGAACATTGTTAAATTAAAATGCTAAGTTTCTGTTATGTTTTACTGTTGTGAGTAATCATCTATATATACAGACATTTGATTTTCCCAGGTTGATTATCTGGTTGATGGTTTCCAACAGCACCTTATGTCTTTCTGTTTCTGGTTTCCTGCCTTTGGAACACTTCATTGTTTAATCATTACTGTACATAGGTCAAAGGTGAAACATTGAAATGAGATTTTGGAATCACTCATTTCATTTCACAAGCTCCTTTTGAGTGTGTACCATGTGCAAGATGGGATGAAATTAATGAAATGAGAGGTTCCTATTGGATAAGAGAGAGAAATGATAACAAAATTTAATACAAGGCAAAATGAACACTAAATAACTGTATGCTGACTGCTCTCAAAGTTCATGTGTCTGGGTCTTGCAGCCCATAATCCCTTTCTTTCCCTGACAAAAATAATCAAGAGTTAGCACTGACTCTTTCCCATTTAGTTGTCTTAAACTCAGCCTAGTGTTCCAGAGGTTTCCATGAGCTATCCCTCACCTTTGCTGGATTTCAGCTGCCTAATGTGAGCTGGGCATTTTGAGATATAGGTGTTCTGAATCCCAGGGGCCATATGAGAAGTACAAGAAAGCAAAACACAAGCAGAACCCTCTCTACTAGGCACCAAAAGGAGCCTGCCTTCTCTTGAACTGTCAGTTGTCAAGTTACAATAGTAATAGTAATGCCCACACAATTCACTATAGTAAAAGTAGCAGAATAAATACAATTTAGATTCTTGGAAGAAAACCAAAAGGTGGAAATGTCCAGAAATCCAAATAGTGCAGAGACCAACCTTGGGAAGAGCCATGACTCTTGCTTTCAGTCATTAGTCAGCCTCAGAAGTGACAATGCTTAATAATCAACAGATCGAATGTGTATATCCAAATTAGAAAATCCCACTGGACTCTTCCAGGATTCAAGGCTCACTTGAGTGCAGGGAATAACCCCATCATGGTAGGAAGGCAGCCTGTGCAGTGGGAAAAGCACTAAATGTCAAAAAAATATATGATATCCTTGATTGTTTCAGCAATATGGTTGACCTCAAACAAGGCAGTTGACATCTCAGAGTCCCAGTTTAACTATCTATAAAATATAGATTTAATATTCCCAGCCTAATTCTTACATCAAAGCAAAAAATTTTTAGTGTTCTTACTATATAATTTTACTGTACTCTCTAAAGTACAGATACACTCAAATGCACAAGATATAGCCCCTGCCCTTCAGAGACTCACAATCTAATAAGGGAGATAGATAAATAACAACAACAACAAAAAAGCAGTTAGTATATTATAGTTACTGGAATATAGATACATAGATGGTAAAAATCAGAAGTTCAGGAAAGCACATCAGAGGAGCTGGTGCTTCAACTGAGCCTTAAAGGAAATTTGTTCAGCAGACCAGGAGTTAATGACATTGCTGGCAAAATTACTATCTAGTGGGGAAACTGAAAGGGGTGAACCAGCATGGCCAGTTCAGGTAAAGGGCTGCCTCAAAAACATGCTGAAGGAGGGAGTGGTGAGAGGTGGGGCTGGAGAGATGGGATGTCAGGCATGGTCTGTGTTCCACGCAGGGGTGTGCCCTTTCCCACGGCCAGTGTTCCTCAAATGTCTGAGGACTGCATGCCACAGACTCGTCTGGATATTTGTTAAATGCAGATTCCTGGTCTTTAACTCTGATTCATTTAACCAGAACCTCTCAGGTGGAGCCAGAAATATTTAATTTAACAAAGACTTCAGGTAGCTCTTAAGCATCTGAGATTGGGGAAGCCCTACGGTGTAGACATGTGCAAAGCATTGGGTATTTTAAATAAGCAGTAACGGGGTAAGTTCTGTTCTCCTATGACACTACTTTGGAAGCCATGTGGAGCATGAACTATGGGACAGAAAGCAAGGAGATGGGATAAACAGGTACTGCAACTGAGAGGTAAGAGAGATGAGGGTCTGAGAGAGGAAAGTGTGTGGAGATGTGGAGGGAAGATGTGGAAGGACAGTGACCATAACCTGCCGAGTAGAGAGAGATGCAAGGTAAAGCTCTCAAGAGGTTTCTGGCCAAAGTGGCCATTAACCTGGATCAGGGATCAGCAACACATGGCCCAAGGGCCAAAGCCAGCCTCCTGGCCTGCTTTTGTAAATACAGGCTTTGGAGACACAGCCACAACCATTTGTTTACATATTGACTGTGGCTGCCTTTCACTACAACAGCACAATCATGACGGAAACTGCATGAGCCACAAAGCCTAACGTATGTACTGTCTGGCCTTGACTGAAAACATTTGCCAACCCCTGACTTGGATAAACAACAGTAAGGGAAAAGAGAGGCCACGATTGAACTGGAGGAGGAAGAAGAATTCTGGGGATGAAGTAAAGTCTGCCTGGGATAGAATGAGCTTAAGGTGCCAGGGAGCATCCGCAGGGAAACTTGGCAGCTATATCTGGGTTCAAGACAAAAATGTGTTTGCTGTGGTTTAAAGAGGCTTGATGAAAGTGGGGTGAATGGAAATGTTCAAGGAGAATCAGGAAAAAGTAGGAAAAAAAGAGTAAAATAATGGGGGTCACAAATGCAACAGGGGTGGACAAAGAAATTCGGAAGAGACTGCAAGGAACAAGGAAGGCTGGTGTCATCAAAGTCCTGGGAAGGTGACGTAAAAGCAAAGGAGTAGGCTGCCAACCAGAAATGAGAACTTTCAAAGTGATCTTTGAAACTGGAGATTTGAAAAACATCAACAACCCCATTTGGAGCATCCGGAGCAGTTTGTGTGAAAAGGTGTGTGTGCGCATGTGTGCACGTGTGTGTGTGCATGTGTGTGAGAGAGAGAGGGAGAGATGATGACAATATATCTCTGTCTTCTCATCCCCTATTCACTCATTAATACATATTTTATATATACGTCATATAGTGTGTCACCTTAGCAATAGAGAAGGATTATGCTTTTGGTTAAAGACAGTGTATTAAAAATGTATGCTTTTTTCCCAAAACTCCACTAAAATGACAGGAAAAAATATGTAAAAGGTATAAACCCACAAAGACAGAGATGAAAGAGGAGATGCCAGCCAACCAGAAATCTGAACAGAACCGTGTCAGAGGGACACCAGAGAGATGAGGGACAACTTGGTCAGACTTCAGCTCTCTCTGCACAGCATCTGCCAGGGAGGCAGACCGACGTGTTTCACAGCCCAGGGAGTTGGTGGTGTAGGTGTCTTTGAAGACAACAGACCAAAGTGAAGCCAGAAACAAAAGAATTGATTAAAAGTCCAAGAAATCAGACTCCAGCATCCATCTCCATCCTGTACCCCAGTGATTGTCCCTAGTTAGCCGGAGGCAGGTGGCTTATCTTCTGGAGAGCTTGTGCTCGATGACCCATGGACTCGGTCACACAGTGAGGACAGCTGAAGGTGGGAGGGGAGGGAAGTCCCTTACCAGAATCAAAAGGACTAAGCAAAGCCCTGCCTTACAGACAGCGAGAGCTTAAGCGCTCATCTCCCACCAGACACACCAGAACAGAGACTAGCAGCTCCACACATCCAGGCAAGAGACTGAAGGCTCTGTCTTAAGGAAATAACCAGCTCAACTGAAGAAAAAAAAAAACACCTACGGATAATCGATATTGAGGGTGAAGAGGGTTCCCGCTGAAGTATGTTTTGTGCCACCTCCCCCACCACCCCGCCCCGCAACATACATAGAATTTCCAGTTTGCCTCTTGTGCCACACTTTTCAATATGAACGAGCAGGCAAAGGCCAGTGGACATTTTAGGAAGACATCCAAAGTGAAAGATAGAACCTGAAGAAAACAGAAAACAAAAGTGAGGAGACTGAGGTGCAGGGAACACAAGAAAAAAATGCTGCAGAATTATAATTAATTTTTAACCCAGAACAATAAAAAAAACCAGCAAAAACAGGATGCTATATGAATAAAAGGAAAATTCAAAGATCAAGAAAGTATTTCTGGAAAATTAAAATATGCTATGAGAAATAAAATAAAATACAATTAAATGATTTCAAAGATGAAGTTGAGGAAAAGCAGAATGTAAAGCTATTCTACCAAAGTGTGCTTAAGCTAAACTAAGGAAGGAAATTAAAGAATTCAGGAAACAGGTGAATCCAACACAGGAAAGACTCAAAAACTATTCCCAAGATGACAGAGGGGGGGAAAATACTGTTTAACCTGTCTACAATGTAATCAATCTGGTTAGGAATTCAAAAGCAAAGGAAGGGTATCTCCAAGGAAAAAACAGAACAGAGACTGCCTGTTATATTTGACCGTATTTATAGGAGTTTGTAATTCTGTGAAAACACCTGAGGATAAATGAATGATAGTTACAAAGAATGTAAGCAAGCAAAAAGTAATTAGGCAATTATTAATCTCCAAATCTTTTTCTTGTAGAGAAAAATATATATAATCATAACT